CAGCAGGAAACAAAAATCACAGTGCACATGCACGGGCTTCAGACTGCACTGTGGAATCAGTCCCACTCCCAGCTTTTTGGGGGCAGAAACCTTATTGTGGACTAGTATTGTCCTTTGCACAACAAACTGACTCTCTGGGGCGTCTGGGAAGTACAGTGTTTCTCCTCTCCCCTTCAGTTTCAGGACAGATCAATGGGAACCTGCTGTAGTGCAGATGTCCCTATATTGACCCTGCATAGTCCTTTGCTGGAACTTTTTTGCAGCATAGGCCAACTATTGATGTATACTTCTTGTCAAAGATTTTGTCTGGTGCATCCAGGCCCTGTTGTAAAAGTCGGCTTGCCAAGGGGAGTAGAGTTTCTGCGGTGTGACTGAAACAGTATTCATTTTTAACCTCCATTCAGCATCTTCTCTTAAGGGGGGGGAAAAAAAAGCAGACAGGCAGATAGGGTCTAGATAGATACGTTTCAATGGTCATTTTAAAACATTGACAAATCCGAGGCTCCTCTAGAAACTGTTAATATTCAGTGGGCAAGAAAGGAAATTCACTTCTCCTCAATAAGACTTTAGCGTTCAAAAAAGCTTCCCAAAATACCGTCCAATATCAAATACAAAAACCATCCAGAATCCAACGCACCACTCTGCTGTGAGTGAAAGCTCCTGGGTCACACACTTATCAAAACAGATTTTCACATGAGAACTAAACATTCATTGCACATGGAGTCAGAGAGGAATAGGGATAAAGAAGTGGGACATCAGGGTGGCCACCTCAGCTCTAACAGCACTCTGAGCAGAGTACAAAGCAGGAGGGTTTCAAAGATTGTCCCACTGTTATTACTGGAGACTACAGTAGCACAAATGGGAAACTCCCTCTCAGATGGGAAATCTAGGCCAGACTGAGACCCATCCTTGGGATGATCCTGAACTGGAATGTCTCAATTGCTCCACCCTGCCCCAGAGTTTGGAATATGTGTGTAAAACCAGAAATTCCCAGGGTTTCTCCAGCTCTATTTCTGCCAAATCTAATCTTAATTCAGGATGAAAAAGCACTTAGTACTGTGCCTGCAGAGGTCTATCTCAGGGCTTTGGCAACTGTGGACCAGAAAAAGCTGCGGCTTCCTTAGGAGGAGGCCCCTAGTAGTGTAAGAACGATCCACCAGGGCCTGATGAAAAGGAGGAATCATATTCACAAAGGGGAGGGATCTCAGCTCCTGGCTGTGATACAACAGTAGATCTCAAGTACTGCAAAGAAGCTGTGCTCTCCTAAAGATCTGCATATCAGCCAGGCATAAAGAAGGTCTGGATGCATAAAGAGGGCCTGGTATTTGCTCCCCCAGCACTTATAGCGCCTCTGAGGATTTCTCTGGGAGGGAAAAGCAGATCTGCAGTGCACAAAACATGGAGATGAAGCATCAGCTTCTCTCATGGTGCAATCCTCCCTCCTACAGACAGATGCCTCACCTTGTTCTTCTGAGAGTTTATGCTGATGTCTGCAGGTGAAGGGCTGATGGGTTGTGAACCACTGGTCCTTGCCCTTCTGACTGGGAACCAGAGACTGTCTTTGCATCGATAGGGAGTCTTTCCCGATCCCTTGCTCACCACCATCGGTCTGGGTTGTTGACTTTACTACTGAGGGAAGTGACAATGCTCACTGGGGCCTTTGCCTTTGTGTTCCCAGTGATGTAACTGGAGCCCTCACCAAACAGAAGCGCAAAGCATGATCTGTCATCCAACTCCTTTTTTGTCCTTCCAACAAACTTCTTGGCATTCCTTCGTTCTGTGAATGGGATTTAGCAGAGCCATACAGCATTCCCAACTGTCTCCATTTGAACTTCAGTATAAGTCCATCATTTCCACTTATGTCCCTGACAGACTGGCAGAGAGAGACAAAAAGCCCATGCTCTGTGTCTCTGCCTGTTTGGACATTTCATACAACCCCCTCACCACAAGACCTGGGCATCCCCTGGTCGTTAATGCAACCACAATAAACACCCTTTTGAAGCTGAGCAGCTTTTATCCCCTGCAGCCTGGTGCAGAGATGGGATGAAGCTGGGAGCTTTATGAAATGACTGGCTCAAAGGGACGCAGGGAGGTACAGAGGGGGGACCTGTACACTGAATCTCAGCCTGTGCCCTAGTGAGGACACTGTCCTTCCCTCCTGGGATACACCTCCAAGACACCTTGCAACTGCCTCCTCTTTGCTCCAAAGCACCCAGTACACATGCACCACTCATCTGCCTGTTGCTGAATGCACTCATGGTGCCATAGTCTATCCCCAGGTCACCTACCCTGCTGGCTGTATGGATGGTCATTTCCCCCTAAAACAGGAGCTGGCACTTCCAGCAGCCCTTCCAGGCCTTCCTGCAACACTGGCATGCTGCCACCCTCCTTGGAGGTGCCGGGCGGAGCTTTATAGCCAGGCTTGAGGTGTTCTTATCTGGCATGTGGGCCAAGTTGCCCCAAAGCAGCATCATACCCAGTGCTGTGACAGCTAACGGGCACCCAGCTGAGGCCTCCAGAAGTATAAGGTAAGCAAGCCTCCTCCATGGCCAGGACACAGCACTGGGGCTGTAAGGGGCACGATGGCACAGCCACAGCTAAATAGCCGAAGTGCTACAACCTAGAAACACTCCCACTCATACACAGTTCAGTGCAAAACCTTCTGCAGCCTTAGAGACCCTATTCTCACTGAAAATGCATCAACAGAAATGATCAAGAGGAGCCTTACAAAGCCTGTAAAACTTTGTGTTCTTCTGCTTCTACAAGCTTTGGCTGCTTGGGCCAGGACAGGGCCTTTGGTTCCTCCAGTGTGCTCTACAATTGATTCTCAGCATGGAAACGCAGTGCTGGTCAAGCAGCCCTCTCACTTCCATCCATGGTTCTTCCTCACCTCTGGCAACCACCCATCTGCCAGTCACCAGTCACAGCTCCACAGGATGCTGCAGGAGCACTGGGACAAGCAGGGCCCCCAGTGCCACGTGTGAATGCACTGAAAGGTTCCCAATACGAGCTGCCTTCAGGCAGCGCCACCCTAACCCACCCTGAGAAAGGCTCGAGGGCACAAAGGTGTCTTGGCAAGCACAGGCACAAGTCAGCTCTCAGCTCAGAGGAGGTATTCAGGCTAGAGGCCTCAACAGGAGCATCCAGCTGCAGAAATGGTAGGATGCAGAGCACAACTTCTCGAAGCAAATATAAACCCAGCACCAAAAACCCATCAGGAGATAATGTGAAGGGTAGCAAGCGACCTCTGCTGAGGAGGGAAAGAATCAGCAACATGCTTGTAAGGTATTTAACTGAGAGGAAATCATGGGAACAAAAGACGCACACATTCAGAGTCACCAGGAAAGATCGAAGAGCAACAAATTTCCCATGGCACTGCAATAGGCAAACCCCGTACAGCGCTAGTCTGGCACACCGAGATGCAAGGACAGCTATAAACCTCGGCTGAGCAGGCAACCATACTGCTTTCTCCTGCCCTGCTCCCGGTTCCTTTTTCCTAAGCCTGACCTCAGCAGGGTCTGGACGTGCCCTGGGCCTCGAGCAGGATCCCTCTGTCCTCGTTTGCAGCATGATCACGGTAAACTTCTCAGTCGTGCTCACAAGCTAGTCCTCTGTAAAGTGACCTTTCCTTGTGCCAAGCATCCCCCCAGCATCGGGGCCCTTCTTTTCCTTGCCTTGCCATAACACAGCAGTGATCTTGGACTTTCCAGTAAACCTTTAACCATCTGTTCCCCTTTAGACTTTTCCATTTTTGATCGATAGCCCACACTCACGTGGCCCCAGACCTCCCATGCCAGGCTGGTATTTCTTTCAAGAAAATGCCCAGCACTAAAAAAAGGTGCAACTAGGAGACAGTCTAGCATCTCCAGACATGCCAGAGCCACGTCTGGGCAAAAAAAAAAAAAAAACACCCCTAAAGCACCAAACTTCAGTCCCCACGAGAAAAAAAACACACAAACACTTCTCAAGGCGCGATGCCTG